TAATGTACATTATAAAATAAGTAGTTTCTAGTAGTAAGAATTTTATACAATGTGCTTCGCATTGCAAACTTCAAGTGCATTATATGATATGTGCCTATATAAAACAAAAATAAAACAATTAAAAATTTTAAAACGTGGCCACGCGTATATATCTATATAAATGAAATAATAACTTTATATTGGCACTGTTACGACGGAGAAATTTAAAATTGATGAGTGCGATAGAGAGTTATAGTGTTCTGTGGACAAAAGTGAATAAAAGTTGATAGGAAAACCCAGGAATTGTAAAGATATATTAATTTATATTCAAAAAAAATGAAATAAGTAAAATTATTTCTTCGACCCTAATAAAATAAAATTTAGTTAATAAAATTTAATTTTATTATGTAGTTAGGTTTTTTCAAATCTAATCCTACTACGTCACGTAGAGCCGTGATAGCTCAGATAGTTGGCACTCGCTGTAAATTTCACAGTACGCGAGCAACCCCGGTTCGATCTCCGCGGGCACCAATCAAATTGTTAATTGCAATTTTAAGTGTTGATTTACCACGTGCTCGGTGGTGAATGAAAACATCGTGAGGAAACCTGCATGTCTGAGAAATAAGAAAAAAAAATTCGAAGATAAGTGAAGTTCGCCAACACGCATTGGGACAGCGTGGGGGACATATCTTTGCCCTAAAACCCTCTCAGAAATGAGGGGAAGCCTGTGCCCAGCAGTAGGACGTATATAGGCTGTAACTTTAATTCTACTACAACTACGGTTTTGAATTGAAGTTCTTCTGACCAGAGAAGAAACGGTGAAAGAAATTCGCAGGTAGGTATCTTCTTTTTAAAGTTAAATATATACAGAGTGGAAAACGAATATAAACCCATTGATATCTAAAGTATGATTTACTCAAAAAGGGACGATTAAAACGTTGGAGTATAACCATGTATAGCGAACACGATCAGATCAGCCTACCATGTGACTCGCAATCCGCATGTGGCAGCCATCCTCCCTCCTCGACCATAATACCCGTCACATCACACGACGCCGCCGCGCCGCAAGCCAAGAAATACTCATGTATAGAACTATAAATAGGTACGTACCAGGTTACTACTAAACTTCGTAGTGTTACACCTTACAGTGTAGTGATTAAGATTATACTAGGTGTTTCTGAATGACAGTAGCGTTGTTCCTCTAGTGGGTACCTATCGTCAAATGATGAACATCGTTGTTTCTTAATTCTTCCTGGTTTTCTTATTTTTTATTATTTATACTCATCACTCAATACTACTGTGTTTCGTAAGTAGAGTGTAAAGAACCGTAGACCTTGTTAATGTATAGGATAAACGAGGCATTCCATCTTTGTCCTTAGGGGTGACTACGCATCTGCATTTTTATTCTTAATCGAGGATAGATGTAGCTATGGGCTGTGTCTATTTCATACCCTTATCCTATAAAAAAAAAACTACCTAATGAGGGCTAATAATCTTCCGATCACCGGATGTCGCTAGTTGACACTGAGGTGAAGTTTTTTGTTACAAAATGTCATTTAATTGAGAAGTTAGATAAGTTAAGTTTATCAGTTTCTAGAGTATAATATTAATACACAAAACAATGTCTCAGTGGTTTGCTTTTTAATTTATTGCACATTTTAAACTGTTTTTTTAATTTTTCTACTTTAGTGAATATCTTTGGTTTGGTTTATTTATTTTTAATAAAATATAACTAATAATACAGAAAGAAATATTAACCGTTACATTTTTCGCACAAATTAACTTCCCACACTATGAAATGTGGCAAATATTACACCTCTTTTAAGTGGTGCCGCCCTGGTGGCAGAAAAAATCGTCGATTTCACAATCGATTTACAAAGAATGTTGTTGTGATTCGCCCTCATTGCCATAAATATTCTTTATGTCGTGAAGATGTTTTTCAAAACTATCATAAATATACTTTACGTATTATACTTTATATATTATAATACTTTCAGGAATCCATACAAGTAACATTCGTGGTTCTTTCTTCACCTTAAGACAATTAATGTCGTCTCTTTGATCCTTGTTTCTGTTATAATATATTTATTACAAGTCCCTACCTGAATAGTGTTAGCATATATGTACATACTCTACGTCTGGTAATGTGATTGTCAACCCACCGTGTAGAGAAAGTTTTTCTTACAGGAGAGGCATGCGAGGACTTTTACTGATGAGGAAGCTCTTTATGCTTCTTCATCAGCCAGTGTCATACATAATTGCAAGTGTCATTATATAATCTGAAGAAAGTTTTGTTGTTTAATTGTAAAACCATTTCAAATAAAATTAAACATCACCTGTTGGACTAGGTACTTTAAATTCACCCCCGAACTGGTTCCCACCTTGTCGTTTCGGGGGGCTTAGTAGCCGTGGCTTAGTCAACCACGGTGAACTAAGAGGAACCCACATGGCTGGCCTGAAGTTAAGGGCCAGCCCGAGGTGGCCACTCCGAGCAAGCTTGTCAAGCCCACTTCGGATGTGTGTTGGTGGGCTGCGGCGAGTGGGGTGTCCCTACCACTGCAGCCAAGGTGGAGTCGCGGAGGGAAAGGAGACGCCGCTTTCCCTACCCTCCGCAGCCAAAACTTTGTAAGCGACGGAGCCACAGTCCAGATCCGCCGCTGGGGTCAGGAAAGCTGGTGGCGGGTATGCGTAGGCATTTCTCCATGTAAAAAAATGGTACTATTCAATTGATTAGATCTTTCTGACCGATTTTGAAGTTTTGAACACACATTTAAAATTCCAAATACCTATTTTCAAAGCATGATCACAGCCAAACCGGCTGGACATGTGTGCTGCAAAGCTTAAAGAATAAAAACAAACTTTGTTAAATTATTATTATGTATTGATAATGTTGAGGGTAAAATTGTAATATCTGTGTAAGGTAGATTAAATGAGTTTGTTTTGCTACTCGATCTGGCATGTATCTTTTAATTATATTATTTTTTGATTAAGACTTTAAATAAAAATTATAATATTATAATTATACGAGGGCGGCACTGAAAATTTCGGGAATCAAGAAAGTGACACAACATTACTATTTAAAAATGTATTTATTGCTTTTCGAAGTATTCTCCGCAAAATTTGACACATTTTTCCTTACGATGGAACCAATCATTGAAACAACCATTCTATTCGGAAGTTGGGGTCTCCAAAATGGCCGTTTTGTAGGCGTCCACAGCTTTTTCATGTGATGAAAATCTCTGTCCACGCAATTTATTCTTTATTTTAGGGAAAGTATAGAAATCATTAGGGCATAGGTCGGGGCTGTACGGCGGATGGTCTAATAATTCTATGTTTTCTTGCTCTAAAAACTCTTTTGTTCTGTGTGCGGTGTGAGAACTCGCATTGTCGTGATGGAGGATGATGCGGCGGTTGCAGTTCTCTTTACGGAGTTCAGAAACGACCTGTAGCAAACAAATGCTAGCATACCATTCTGCATTAAACGTTCTTTCTCCCTCAAGAGGAATAGTCGTAACATGGCCGGTTTTGGAGACAAACGTGGCCACCATTTTTTTTGCAACACTCCGTGAACGAACAATTTTTGTTGGCTTTAACTCATTTTCGAACACCCAAACTCGTGACTGGTTTTTTGTTTCGGGTTCGTACGCGTATATCCAGGATTTGTCACCTGATACGATGTTGTATACATCATTTGAGGATCCTGCGTGGAATCTTTCGAGAGTTCTGACGCACCAAGTAACGCGAGCCGTTTTTTGCTCTTTACAGAGCGAATGCGGTATCCATGGGGAAAACAACTTTTTTACACCTAATTGTTCATGCAAGATTATTTGTATTTGACTCATGCCAATGTCTAAAGTTGCCTGAATTTCGCGGTATGTCACATGTCGATCTTCCTCAATCAGCTTACGCACAGCATCGTTTTCTTGGGTGACTGCAGTTTTTGGACGACCTTGACGGGGATCATCACTGAGCTTGACACGTCCACGTTGAAATTCAGCAAACCAGCGATAAATTGTGGTTTTGGATGGGGCTTCATCACCAAATGCAGAAATCGTCCGGTTAACACACTGTTTTTGTGTTAAACCACTTCGAAAGTCATAATAAATCATCGCTCTTGAATTTTCTCGAGTCAATTCAATTTTCTCAACGACGACGACGGTCTTGCCACAAGTTTGATAAAACCTTGTGGCAAGACCGAGAATCTTTTTTTACATAAATAAATGGTATTTGATTTTTAAAACCAAGGAATTTTCAATTAAAAAGATTTTAATATGACAGGAACAGTGGAAATATTCTATTCACGATACTTTTAGTGCAGCCCTCGTAATATAGATGAATATGTGGCTTATAATAACCACTGGGAATAAGTTAATTGCTTCCAAGGTCCAAGCTGTATCTTAAATTACTTTTGTAAGTAATTGTGCAACCTATTTTTTACTGTAATATGTTAAATTGGTAAAAAGTATTGCTAGTTTCTTGCTGGTCCTTCCCATGACAGAGGTTTTTTTGGATCCAGTGGTAAAAGCAAAAAAATGACTAGCAAAACGATTTATTTACAATTTGTATTAAATAAAAATTATTATATTCTATTCATTTTAGCAATGAAAGTTAGTATTACACTTTTCTTACACCATAAGAAATCGTATAACAACTTATTACAAGGGAGAAAAACTAAAATAATAAGTTAGTAAACAAAATAAAAATACAAGCAATAAGCAAATATAAGAAATATTTAATAGCAACAGCTTTTAAATTAAATTCAAAGTATCAGAGACAGTTCTCTTGAGAAAGATTTTTTTTTATCTTTATTAAAAAAAACATAACCTAGGATTTTCTTCTGTATTATGGGGGCAGTTTACATACATAAACTTCACAAGGACAAACATCCAGACCCGGAACAATTATTTGTAGGTCATGCAAATATTAGTTCCCTGTGGGATTTGAACCCGCAGCCCTTAGCTCTGCGACTCACTGCTAAGCCACTGTGTCACGGAGCAGTCCTGTTAATAAAATTGGTCCATTCAACTTCCACTTGACACGACAGCCAAATATCCATAAACTTGGAAATCGTCAATTATTCCTTTTATAACTGCCTTATATTGATCAACAGCTTTTGCTTTCTCACTTTCTGTGTGCCAAATGTGTTTACTTCTTACATGCCCTTCCTCTTGTAATCCATTCCATAACCATAATGCTGTATTTGCTACAATCAAACATGCAGGTGCTACCAATTTTAAATCACTATGAAATTGACTGTTACTATAGGTTATCAGTCCGTCAAATTTAGCTTTATATAAAAACTCCAACAATGTTTTGTAGTAAATATCCAGGAGGGCTGAGTAATATTCTTTTCTCAATTCACTACTAGTACTGCTTGTTATTAGATATAAAACGTCAAAAGCAGGACTACACAACCTCACAGTTTGATAGTCTATCAAACAGGCAGAGACAGGCAAATTATCCTGAAAATAAAAGGTAAGATTTAAACATAATTTAAGTACAGAAACCTATTAACACTAATGCATTCAAACAAATCTAAAGGTATGAACATATTATTGTAATTAAAAAATATCAAATATAACAATCATCTGATTTTTATATCAATTTAAATACAAAATAATATTGTTCATTAAAACCCAAAACTATTTAAAGTTTTCACCTTATACTTAAAAAGAATATTTTCTTTCCATATATCTCCATGGCATAAGCAATTCTTCTCTGATGACAAATAAGCTGCTTCAATATATGTACGACAATTCTGTTTTAAATTCTTTAATAATGGCACATAATCAGAATTTTCAAACTTGCATATTGCTTTGTCCAATCTATCTAGTAAAATATCCATGTATCTTTTATTTGTCTTTTCTGATAATGGCAAACAAATTTTCTTAACATGTTCATAAATGCCATCTTCTTTATAAATCAAAATAAATGATAATGCATGAAACTTTGCAAGACTTTTCAAAGAAACAATTGTATGATCAATATCAAGGAACAAACTGTGAACAAATGGTTTGTATCCAATTTCACACATATTTTGCATTGCAATCACTTCTTTGCAGTAGTCCTGGCAAACATAATAGCATTTTGGTTTAATGTATTGAGAATCAGCCTCCAAATGCTGTTGATAATCTTCAAATATACGAAATACTTCAGAATAAACAAATATTTCTCTCGCAAACATTGTAGTTACTGCACCACTAATGCGATACCTATCATCAGTAGGTGCTAATTTTAGCACAAGTTTTAACTGTATAATTCCATTCATATCCTCGCCCTCAATAACCACTGGAATGAGAACTCCAAAATAATTTTGAGCTGTATTATCCAATTTTCCTTCTAAATAACACCAGTCTTTCAAATTACAAGCAAGAGCGACATTATTTACAATGCTCGTAACATATTCTTTAGAAATTATTTCACTCATTTTCTACATATATTTATTCAAATAATTTAGGACTTCACGTTCACAAAATCAAATTCAAGATCACAAATGAACAAATCAACAAAATAAAACCTATAGGCAATAGGCATGAGACCGATATATCAAAACGTAACTCATAACTTTATGTTAACAAATATCATATCATATCGATAAACCTAAGAACATAACCGTTATCACATATCTAACCAAAACCCAAAATCAACTAACCAATGTACGAAACGTAAAACGCAAAACGATATGCCAATAACCGAAAACGGCCCAAAACCAAAACTAACCGATGTCCTTTGATATTCGTTGTTTCTCGTTCTAGCGACAGTATCATAAATACGTATGAAAGAGATGAAGCGAATATGGATTTGGTTGCGATGTTTTGGTTGTTATCATAAAACGGTGCACGTAGTGAAATATAATTATAAGATTCATAACAATAAGCTCGAATTTTAAATGGTTAAAATTGCCTAATTTTTTAAGTTTGTGTAGTTGTGAGAGTTGTCAGATTTAAATGATCTTTAGGACATTAGGCACTAGACTTAGATTTGTTTTATCACATTATATTTGGTTTAGGCAACTTTTATTTATGTGAAAGTTAGAATTTGATTTTTTTTTCAAACGTAACAATTACGCACTTGACATTGGTGGGGTGATGTGCCGTTCACTATGAAACTATCTGTAAAATTATTAATTTTTGACGTTGCGTTTGTGCATTTATTTGTAGTATATATTTGTTTGCATTTTGTACATTTGTTTTAAAACTTTCCTGTCAGTCCTAAGCCTAATTAAGTATATGAAGGTAAATCGCCAACTTAAATAATCATTATAAAAAATAATGATTATTAATATAATAATAATAATAAACTATGTACCTATAATAATTTTCTATTTATATATAAATTATGTTTACTACTTATGAATACAGTTTAATTATAGACTTCGAAATCAAACTCTGATCCTACGACTCACTTTAAAAAAATATGGGTATAAACATAATAGAAATAAATGAGAATAGAAAGAATGTAATTTTAGACATTTATAATACTATATTACTGCATAAAAATCATAAATTATATATTAAAATACATGTCTAAATATTACATCTAAGATTATATTAGAGCCTCTGACTTTTAAACTAAAATAATCGAAGTAATTTGTAAAATAAATGTTGCACTCGTTCTACAGTTTCCAGGCATAGATGAGCCACTCTGAAAAGTAATTAGGTAACGAAACGAGGAAAGTTTCTTCTGCGCTTTTATAGATGGCGTAGGGATTATAAATTACTGAAAATTACACTAAAGGGCGCATCACCTAGGTTCAGTATTATTTCGTACATATTTCAATAAAATTAAAAGGAAATCAATTTAATTTAATTTAAATATTAACTAATTTGTTTTAAGTAAATATTTATTGTTTCTTTGAAAAAAAAATTACAATGAATTATTCTATATATATACCGGCGTATTTCAAAACTTTGCTGCTAAGCTAGCATGATTTAGGCTTCGTTATAAATAATAAATACCCACAGTGGCGCCATCTTTTAATAAACTATGTAAAAATATCGGGAAATATAGTACTTTTACTGTGAGATGGCACTAGTATCAACGTAAAGCAAGCTACTGAGGACTTTCATACCCCTGATTTTAGGTTATGTTTCGGTTGTAAACCATTACTACTGATATCGATATTTGAAAACGGTTTTCAATAACGATATGAAAACAAAATATCAGTTATGTAACCGATGCAGCCAAAATCTGAAAACGCCCATGCTTAATAGGCAATAGGTAAAAAATATCGATATATCGATATATCATTAATTTCTCACAAAATTGTCGATATTTTTCGTCAATATTTTTAAGCGCCATACAGCGATAATCGATATTTATTTTAGAGTAACGAAATCGTATTAATTTCGATATATGTTAAAATGTTGTTTATTTTATAATTTAATAGACAAAACATTAAGCAACAAAAGCAACTGCAAAAGCATTTTTTTCTTCGGTGTCGAACGTCCACTAATAAAATTTGGGCCTCATCCTACCTATGCAAAACATAACGATGTCTTGATATATCCATATATATTATTGCGATAGTTATCGATACTGTTCGAAACTGTTAAAAAATATCGATACGACAAATATTGATATATTTTTTCACTTGCCCATCCCTAATAACCATATGTTTCTCTTTTTTATTAAGATTTTGCTTTGGATGTTTGTCTTTTAAGCCATGTCTTCATTTATCTCAGTATCAAGTAGTGATCCTTTATAGTATACAGCTTCACAATATGTTGATGCGTCACATTGCGTAGTTTTTGGAAGATTTTGACGGCAACTTGAGCCAGCAGACATTTGGCAATAGTATATCATAGGTACTTTGATATACTATTGCCAGACAGACATCTTATCTTAAGATCCACATCACCATCGGATCACTTATGTCACCGTTTCCACTAATAGTTCACATGCGCAGACATTTAATACACAATATGCCACCACTTTTACATATCCAAATCCACTTCAAAGCAGGACGTACGCACGTACAGTCAAATTATTTATCGTTTCGTTTTATGTGTATTCGTGAGATATATCTGTGTCTACCAGTTTCTTTTGAAAAACTACTTATTTGAGCTGAGTAGCTATGAGAATTATAACGTATAGACAGTTATGGAAACGTCTATTTACTTTATAACGTATAGATAGTTATACATAACGCTCATAATTATCTATTTCTTATAACGATCCGTAACGCACAGAGTGCCTTTGAACCGCAACGCTGCAACGTGATAGTTATACATAACGCTTATAACTGTCTATTTCTTATAGGCGTGTGTATCTCTTTACGGAACCGACTCACTGATCCGAATCACTGAACTGATACAAAAGTTTGGTTCAGTAACAACGTTTAAAATGCATCATTTGGATCTGGAACAGTAAAACATTACTTTGCTCTTTCCTCACTTCGCGCGACGCGTCAGTAGGGTAATATTGGGGCTGCTGCATCACTCACATCCGTTCGCGATGCAGTTCGCCCCAATATTACACTAAACAGCTCTACATTTCCATTTTTTTAACTAAGCAGATGTATTCTCAATTCTGTGTCACTCTTTTTAACTCACAGCGATTTACCATACTCTTTCAAACATTTATTTATATAATCTAACCCTTTCACGGCGTTCACATAAAAACATTGTAATGCGTGTTGCATCCACGGATCATCGTAAATCTCCCAATCTCGAATAACTCCTCCACAGGAAAAACAAGCAGCTGTATCATTTATGCTATCGCCAAAATAAAAGAATCCCGCATCAGCCATTTCATTCACCACTGCTTCTCTTAAATCACTCGTTGCCCAATAATGGCTAAATGAAAATAAGCGTGTTTTATATGAATCATATAAACTATATCGGGGTCTGTATTCGTTTTGAGACATGTCCCTCATGCTTTGTGGAGGTTTGATCTTGCTGGTTGCAAGAGTATAATGAAGCTGCAAAGCTGCGCTGATTCCTTATAAACATTTAAAAAAAGTTGCTGGTGGAGAGTTTTTTATGAAATAAAATAAAGAACATTTCAAATGTTATTATCAGAGCACCATTTATTTAAACAAAAAACATTTTTCAAAGCACATACTGAGTCGTGATTAATACAACTATACAAATCTTTACAATCTTTATATCGATCATACAGATTTAACAAACTAGGACAGCCTTTATCTTCTAAATTAATTATATTATCATTTTGTAAGATGGATTTTAACCATAAAACTTTTTTAAACCTTTGACGTATATACATTTATCCTTTATATTATCTGCAATCAAATTCTGATAATTTAAATAAGGTGTTACTCCCTCACACCAATATATCTTTCTATTACGTTGAATCCAATTTACATGTTTTTTTTTTCTTTTACAGTCATTTTATAAAAAGGAAATGGTGGTTTAATTAAAAGTCGTTGTATTTTATTGTTACACAATATTGCAATTTCTTTCACTATGAATTCATTTCTTTCTGTTTTGAAACCTTGGACATCTACGATAGCAGTCATGTCAACTTGCGCACTATGTTACTTAAAGGCTTATATTCCACAAATTGATCGTTAATGATTAAACAATATCCAGTTGTCTTCTCTGGTATTGCCGTTGTACATTCAATCTCCAAACGAACATCTACGGGTCCTGTTTTTAGACTGTCGTTTTGTTTTGAACAATCTATCACAAATAGCGGAGCCTTCTCCTTAAAGCTACTTAAATCAAGCAATGGGTCTGCGGGACAGTTGTAGTACGACTGGCGAAATTTCACATACATTTCGTATAATATATTAAATTTGTTTTCGGAAAACTTTAAACATAAGGGCTCGTATGGGTAATATTGTGAATTCAAAAACAATGTCACATTTCTCACTCCACAGTGATCAAATACTGAACAGTCTTTCATTTTTTGATTTTTTCTGTTTGTTTGTAAACAAAAAATTACATATCGAGGTTTCTCTAATTGTGACACAGTCTTAATAGACCAGGAATGCTTAGTTGCTGTAGGAAGTAAAGGGTATTCATATAAATCCCAATTTCTAAATGCCATCTGTATAGGTTTACCTCTTTCTAAATGTTTAAGAAGTTTCAGTCGTTCACGATCTGATACTTTCACATGTGGCACTCGCCCGAGGCGTAATTCTGAATTTTATTAAATAAAAATATTTTCAATTTATTGCTGTTGTATTTTCATTACGACCCGTCACAAGTACACTGCTGAACATAGGCCTCATTTTTATTTAATTTTGTTCTTGAGAATAAAGGTGACTAACGGGATGCGGGATGATGCTGGATGCTGTGGGTCATCTGGCTGTGGCTCTCTAAGTACATCTATTCTCGATTAAGAATTAAAATGCAGATGCGTTATTACCCTCTTAAGGATAAGATGGAATGCTTCGTTTCTAGTGAAAAGGGTATCCGAATACACAAGAAACACAGGAGCTATTTTAAGTGGGTATTTTTGTAAGAGCGTGGTTCCTCCCTGGTCGAGCCGGCCCATCTGTGCTACAACCATAATCTATCTTTAGCATGGCTCTACCACCTAAAACCTCTCCCGAGCCACTAAAAAGATCAACATTCTGCAAACTTTATCAAGGTGTTCAGATGACCCTCCCCCTCCCAGTAAATGAAGTCTCGTTCTCTCTACTCTCTACTTTCTTCTACACTCTTTCTTCCCTATAGGGAATTAAAATGGAGATGCGTTATTACCTACTCGTTATTTCACTCTTTCTTCCCTATAGGGAAGAAAGAGTGTAGAAGAAAGTAGAGAGTAGAGAGAACGAGACTTCATTTACTGGGAGGGGGAGGGTCATCTGAACACCTTGATAAAGTTTGCAGAATGTTGATCTTTTTAGTGGCTCGGGAGAGGTTTTAGGTGGTAGAGCCATGCTAAAGATAGATTATGGTTGTAGCACAGATGGGTCGGCTCGACCAGGGAGGAACCACGCTCTTACAAAAATACCCACTTAAAATAGCTCCTGTGTTTCTTGTGTATTCGGATACCCTTTTCACTAGAAACGAAGCATTCCATCTTATCCTTAAGAGGGTAATAACGCATCTGCATTTTAATTCTTAATCGAGAATAGATGTACTTAGAGAGCCACAGCCAGATGACCCACAGCATCCAGCATCATCCCGCATCCCGTTAGTCACCTTTATTCTCAAGAACAAAATTAAATAAAAATGAGACCTATGTTCAGCAGTGTACTTGTGACGGGTCGTAATGAATATACATCAGCAATACATTGAAAATATTTTTATTTAATAAAATTCAGAATTACGCCTCGCAAAATTCATCTTGCTCACACTAAATTTAGGTCTTGTTCCGCCCCTGGCTGCATGTATTGCCATGTAGGTTTCCTCGTTCAATAAAATTAGCCTCTATCACAAGAGATCAAAAAAGTAATGTCGGGTCTCCCGCCAACGTCTTTAAATACTTCATAAGTTTCAATAAACTAGGGAACATTTAGAGTCTGGAATCCTTCGGATGACGTCATTCAGAAATCTGTGACGGAATAAACTACTATTTTCTACACAGATGAGGTTAACAGGTCGCCGCTTCTAGTTGGATTCCTACGATTATGCGCAAGCTTTCACCGTCAAGTTATCTGCCGAGATTGATTATGTAAGCATTGCATTAAAAATAAAAATACCGATTTTGAATTTTCAGGTGCATCGCATGAAAACATAAGGTATCTCTCAAGTAATACATATTATGATATTAAATTAGATTGTTTAGTGTGAATGCCAAGTCAATTTATTTATTTAAAATATAAAAGATTTTTACTATTGATGTGGTCACTATAAGATGTTGTTAGGTTAGCTAATTACATAATAACTTAAGACAGAAGGACCCTTAAGTGGGGACTGAATAAATTAACCCATTTGGTATTACATGGATCTTACAACTTCTTACGGTAGAAGAACTGAGTTACGAGACTTTTTTTTACAAGTTATGTTTTTGATGACATTTCGTTGTCGAATAACAAAATACCAAGCACTATCACATAATGACTCAGAATTCACAACATTTTCGTCGCAACAAAACAGCAATATTTTAATTGAAAAACAAATACATTAATTTTGACTCATAATATATTATATTATACAAACTTTTAATAATATTTTGTATTACTTCAACTTGAATTCGGTTAAGGATATATTTTAAATTAAGTATACCCAAACGTTACAAAATCTTCTGCAATATCAAGCATTATTTCCTTGTAATTTGATAACGCAACAATTTTGTTACTTTCTTCTCTACATATATTTTTACTTTTTACCAACGATTCTTCTTCTAGACCTAACCATAACGAAAAAGACAAATTTGTTCTTATAAAACAATAAGGTGCCACGATCTTTAGATCATTATGAAAATCAGTTCTGGAATACATCTTTTCGGAATCAAGGCAATGATCCAAAAGAGTTCGTTGAAGAGTATCGTAATATACTGATAAGAAATATTGATAAAATTTTCGCCGGGGCTTCGCTTGCGTACTAATGAGCAAAAAGCCAAGAACATCTTCAGCTGGGCACAAGAGGTGAGTGGTTTGATAATCCAATAGGCAGGCCTTTACAGGCTTGTTATTCTGTAAAAAATAAAAAATTTCTGTTTAAAAACTTAAACAGAAATTTTAAGCCCATACAATAAAACATTTATTTTATACTTACTTTATATTTGAATAGAATGTTTTCTTTCCAAATATCTCCATGGCCATATATCAAACATTTTACTTTGGTCGTAGTATCATTCACAATGTTTGCAAAATTAGAATTAAGCATAGAAAAGAAATTTTCGTGCTTTGTGTCTCTGAACAAATGTAAATGATTTTTTAAAGAATTTTTGAAAGTTATCATCAGTTTAGGTGGGTATGTCGAAGAATATGGCATCACTGTATTCGCCTCGTCAATAACATTGGTTCCGTCTTGGAATATCATGGATAAGGCGTGAAACAGGGCTAGAGATTTTAAGGATACAGTGATGTGGTCTGAATCAAGGAATCTTTGTTGACTGCCTTGACATCGGCTGAATCCTTCGCAGCACATATCTTTCAACACAAGTATTTCATGGTATTGTAAACGATCTGAATAGTAACACTCAGGAAATAATTCACATAAGTCAAATTTAGATATCCTTTTGTAATGTGGTATAAGTACGGTATAAACAAAAATCTCCGCATTGTATAAATATTCTAAAACATTAGCGTCTCTCAATTCTTTATTATCTGGTGGACATTTCAAAATAAGATTTCTGGAGATCTCACCATCTTTTGTTTTTCCAATTAAAGTTATTGGTATAAGCACTCCGAAGTAATTCTCAATATTTTCATCTATACTGCGGTATCTTATTTGATAATTTTGTAAGCCGAATTTTGCCGCGACGCTACTGAAGATTAATTTCAAGCGATCTTCTTTAATTGACATATTCGAATGGTATCAAAACATGTACTAAATTGTCCGCGCAATATTTCTATTCAGTTATTACAAGTGTCATGTGGAATCAGTTGAATAAACATCTATCAATCTAAGCGCCTTATCAATAAAGGCATTACAATTGTGTCTGCAAACAATTCTGTTTATTTGATACAGCCTGAAAGATTTTCACACAATCACCATCAATGCGCAGACATTTTGTTTCATATTTGTAATTTTATAGTAAGGAAGAGATAATTTAAGTAATAGAATCAAATCAAATAGAATCTCACAGAATACCAGCGTAAAATAGCAGCTTAATGCTGCTGTGTTTCGTATGGTGAGTGTAGAGAACCGGAGACCCATTTTACTGGAAAATAGACATTCTATCTCAGTCCTCACGGCTGACAACGCATCTGCATTTTAATTCGCAAACGAAGATAGATGTAGATGTCTATGGGCCACAGTAACCACTTACCATCAGGTGGACCGTGTGCTCGTTTGTCACCCTTATTCTATAAAAAAAAAGAATCAATGGCAGTTTTTTTGTAACCGTGGTTTTCATAATTATGGATGTCAATAGGAAATGTCAGAAAGATCTCATGAGATCTTGGTATATCGGTATATTATATAATATGCCAGATTTCAGTATTCGGCCGGATAAGGGTAACAGGTTCAAAGGTGTGAAACTTCTGATACTGCGATAGCTAATCCGTTAGCCTAGCTTTACTTCTACCAATATACCTACTGTTATGAACTTATAAAATATGATATGTTATATTACCAAAAAAACGGTTTACGCTCCTCACAGAATATCACACTTAGCAACGTTATAATGGTAAAAAACTAAACTAAAAAACTATTCTTTATGCAAACTTCAAATTAAAATCGGGGATATACAACCGATAAACTGAGAGCATATTATACCCAAACTCAATATATGTTCTAACCCGATAAACAGGGATATACTATCCAAAATGACAAAGCTAAATCTCATCGATTGGTGATGGCGAGCTGCAACGTTATCCAACCCGCTGCGCTGCGCAACTAGTCGCCAGTGTAGTGAATATGGACATACTTGAACATCTACGAGTATAACCAGATTTTGAATAATTAATCCCGCTGGGTTTCTGGTTAGTTCTGCAAAGAGAACTATATCAATATTGTTACGAGCTTGAGGTTCGAGACAATTAAAAACTGCCGATTGAATTACCAAAATTGACACTTTATTTACAGAACACTAATTACAACTTAAAACCACACTAATAATAAAATACAATTGTAATACCGATCACTTTAGTTCGCAGTTATTTCGCTTCGAAGTATTCTCTTGTATCGCCAATTCAATACCGACTCGGTCGTGGTCTATACCGGCCTTATATAGGGCCTCCGATAGTTTCCAGAAACTCCCACTGTCGAAACATCTAGAATGTTCGAGTACATATCGGTCCCGAAATTTCTAGAAGGATCTTGACTCTCCTAGTTCTGCTATTCGATACTAGACGGCGCTAGTGGTAACTAGTGTTGCCATGTACAAGACATTAATAGTAGCGCGCAACAATATTTATTGTTATACAGTTCACTGTTGAATATACGATTTTCCTTAGTAGGGTTATTTTTCCTAATAGCAACCATTAGCCGATAGATCAATTGAATCATCATTTTGAAAATCAACTTAAAAGTCAGCTTGTTGCTTTAATCGAAATGACTTACGACGTACCTTTTACATAACTATTGCAAAAATCAGGAGGAAAATAATCTAGCGCCACAAGCGTTTACGCCTACTCTTTATACTTCTTATAGCATCGTAAAAAAGTCACATCCAATGTATATCCCACTGTTGTGCACAGGCTTCCTCCCATTTTTTTTTAGTGTGATAACGTTACCCCCACACTAGGATTGTCTGCTGTATCGTGGAGGCAGTTTACAAACACAAATTGCACAAGGACAAACATCCAGACCCAGAACAATTATTTGTAGACCATACAAATACTTGTTCCGTGCGGGATTTGGAAGAGGGTTAGGTACGAGTATAGAGCAGTTACGCCGCTGCACTGCCCCAGTGCCAGTGGCGGATTATCCTTAAGGCAAACTGTAAACCTGATCTTAATCAGTATCATAGTTAGTTTATTTTATTATAATGATATTAATTAAATGTTAACTATCGTAAAGTCAATATAACGTTAAATCATCATAAATTAAAGTCTTAGGGCTTAAGGTGTTGTTAATTGCGACGTGTTACATGATGTATAATTTCCACTTACGATTGTTGTCACTTATTGCAACTTCATCGTTATTTGAATTTAGATTGACACGTACTCATTTGACTATTATAATTATAGTTAATAAATTAAAATAATAATAATGTCATCCAAACTGAATTTCGATCACGGCGACCAGTCTCAACGGTGATCGAATAGAGATCAGGCGCACAACCAATAGCTGCTTTCTGAGACACAGGGATGACTTCCTGACCCTGGACTGTCACTAAGAATTTCTTGACATCAACAACCAATTTATTTTTTATAGAAATAAGGTTACAAACGAGCACACAGTCCACCTGATGGTAAGTGGTTGCTATGGCCCATAGACATCTACATCTATCCTTGTTTGCGAATCAAAATGCAGATGCGTTGTCAGCCTTGAGGACTAAGATGGAATGCCCCTTTTCTAGTAAAACGGATTTCCGGTTCTTTACACTCATCATACGAAACACAGCAGTGATAAGCTGCTATTTTACGCTGGTATTCTGTGAGAGCGTGGTCCTTCACTGGTCGAGCCAACCCATTCGTGCTACAACTATATTATAAATATAGCTGCAGCTTAGCTCTACCACGTACAAAAGTTTGACCTGAACTGTGAGATCCGAACCCGGAACCTAAGATCAAAAGAGTACATCTGGTGGTAAGTAGCTCCTACAGCCCGAGGATACCTGCAACCCGTTACAAGCAAGTCACAAGCATACACAGGCCACAAATGTGTTTCCACTCATGAGGACTAAAGTAAAAAGTCTTGCTGCCTATAATTATTAAATTATATTATAAAATAGCTGTTTCCCGTGACTTCGCCCGCGTGTATAGGTTTTAATTATCTTGCGCGGAACCCTAATTCTTCTTGTAAAATATAAGTAGCCTTTTTTTTTTTTACGGATGGAAAATCATCAAATGACGCCTTTCGCTCTGGGTGGAGCGGAAGGGAGTGTCAGACTTTTACTGACTAAAAACCATCCGTGTTCCTTCAGTGCCCTTACGTTCCGGAGCCGCGGTATCTCTTTCGAACAGCCCGCAGCCCCGGCAGGCGTCGGCCCTTGCGGGCCCCTTCACGCTGCTGACAGCTCTTTGAGGCGCGCGTGGAACAAAACGCGCCGTCGACACGGCCTGTCGTCGTTAGACGGACGGACGGCGAGCTACCCATTGCTCGCCGTCCACAGGCCCGCGCCTACGGTGGCCGGGGGCCACGACGTAGCCCCCGACGCCCGGGGCGTCTCCCGCGGCGGCCGGGAAGGAAAGCTGCTGCTCTCTCCTTCTCCCGCTCCGCCACCTCCTTCGCTAGCATCACTGCTTCGCAGAAGGTGGTGACGGCATCCCATTCCGTCTCGCTCCGGACCATGGCTTCGACCAGGGCCGGACGCGAGAGGTCGCCGCCGCCTATCGCCGCTACGAGGACACGGCGGTGCTCCGCCCAGGCAGGGCACACCTCCACGGTGTGCTCCACCGTGTCCTCCGGTCGATCCTCGCAGTGGGAGCACCCGGGCGTTTCCTCCCGCCCGATTCGGTGCAGGAACCTCCCGAACACACCGTGTCCGGTGAGGACCTGCGTCAGGCGGAAGGTGAGGACGCCGTCTCTCAAGCCACTCCTTTAAAAGGGGGTCTTATCGCCGCTATAGTGGCGTGCACAGCACGGGGTTGCGACAGTCGCTCTCTCCATGTCGCCATGAGATCATGCCGGAAGTCTGTCCGCTGCACGACAACTTGCCGTGGCAGCGGGGTTTCCCCCCGGCATAGTGCCTCCGCGCGCCATTCGTGTAGGCGCGCGAGGACTATCGCCTCCAGATCCCATGGTGGCAATCCGGCAAGGAGGCACGCTGCCTCGCAGGAGATCGTGCGGTAGCCGCGAACCATTCTTACGGCAACCACCTTTTGGGGCGCGTTCAGGTGGTGGACGGCAAGCCGCGCCAAACCACGCGCCCACACCGGGGCCCCGTAAAGGGCCATGGACCGCACAATCCCCGCGTAGAGCCTCCGGCAGGAGGCGTTTGGCCCCCCCAGGTTCGGCAGGAGCCGCCTGAAGGCAGCCCCGGTCCGTTCCAGTTTGGGAGCCAAACGTCGGAAGTGCTCAACGAAGTTCCATCGGCCGTCGAGGACGAGTCCTAGGTACTTCAACGTCGACTCGACGCCGATGGATACCCCTCCTACCATCGCTGAGGATCCCGGTGGTGGCCTGTTCCGAGGACCATGGAAGTGCATGGCCTCGGACTTGTGCAGAGCCACCTCAAGACCCAGCTGCCGGATCCTCTCAACGACTATCGCAACCCCGCGTGTCATATTTTCCGCCGCCGCCTCGTACGACCCGCCCTGTGCCAGTACCAACGTGTCGTCAGCGTAGCAAACTACGCTGACGCCGGTAGGGAGGTCGGCGCGCAGCACCCAGTCGTAACCGATGTTCCACAGGGGCGGCCCCAGAACCGAACCCTGTGGGACACCGCACGACATCTCTCGCCGGTTCCACTCACCGTTGCGACCGGGGTAGATGACGGCCCTATCCGTCAGATAGTCCCCGACTATACGACGGAGATAGGTCGGCACCCGGTGATACCGGAGTGCCTCCCTAATGCAGCTCCAGGGCATGGAGTTGAAGGCGTTGGCGATGTCGAGAGACACCGCCAAAACAACCCCCCCCTGGCCACTGCATCCCCCGTCGTGAGGGCTCTTACGCGCATGATGGCGTCCACCGTAGAGCGCCTCTTGCGGAAACCAAACTGGTGTTCCGCAAGATCCGGCCCCGTCCCCGCA